GAATACAACAGACGAGCCACCACAGACATCCGCAGCTGTAAAATTGTTAAAAACTCATGAAAGATTGAAAAAATAAGGTTATAAAGCGACAGGTTTGGTTTGATTGTAAGCTGTTGAGACCGCTGTTGTTGTTGCGATTGTGGATCAGAAGATGAAAAGATCCAAATGAGATTTTTTCATCCTGCCCTCGATGGTATGCTAAAACTACAGCACTGTCAAAAAGGGAGAGGCAAACATTTGCATGCCTAACGTGGGATAGGTCTTACACAGAAAAGATAAGAAGGGCTGAAGAGAAACGCCAGAGTAGAGCCCAGAGCGGTTTTCACACCAGGAGAAAAGAGAACCATTATGGATTCGAAACCAGTAAGGGGCACGCAGCGAGGAAACCAGTGGTCGAGTGCAACTGGGAAGAGCGATGTGAGTGCAACTGTTGCAAAAAGAGTTGTGGGTCAACCAGAAAGACATGCCAGGAAGTGCAGAGCGACAAGCCCGGTGATCAACAGCACATAGCCATTTCGAAATAATTCGATAAAACTATCAAAACAATTATTGCCAATCTCTGGCAACCTTGTTCCAGTTTCTTTTTTTTGAAATCACCTATTTCGATATCCAGCAAAATTTTCAAACAGATCAAGAGCAAATCATCCCAGCCACCATCAAAAAATTAACAGTATCTGGTTTCAAACACTTACCAAGGTGATTTGGGTCTAAGAAGGCGAGACAAAATTTTTCAATACGCATGAAAGACTAAGATATACCCAAGTTTAAAGAAATTTTCACACATATTAATTCAATTTTTTCGCTGTGAATGTTTCACGCCGCATGAACAACTTTTCATTCTATTTATTCGAAAGAGTTTACTACGATGCAAAACTTAAAACAGATGAGAGAATTTGGCATTTTCCGACCTGGAATAATTTGGTAATCTATCGAAATCAAACATTGATAGTTTCAAAGTTGGTAGTTTTTGAAAATTCGCATTTGATCTATTTTAAAACATGTCGAAAATCAAAGCGAGTGTTGTCCGAAATTAGAAATGAAAACAGGCTTTTTGAGAAATAAAATTATGAATTTGCGCTTAATTTTGTCCACTACTGTAAAACGAACATTAAGTTGAAGCTTTTTAAACACCCTGAAAGTACTCAAAATCTTGCCACAAAAGAACTGAGGGGTGAAGTTCTTTGGAAAAATGCCCTAGAGCCATAATTTTTACTACTAAGTAAATATTTACTGTTTTATGGTTGGATTTCAAGGTTTTTCTGCAGGGTTTACGCCTAAAATACAGTTAGACAAAACTCTTTGCCCAAGTTTTTGATTGGCTGGCGTCTTTTACGATTTTTTGTAGAAAAACCTAATAGAAGAGCTCAAAAAACCTGACCGCCATCAGTTCTAAAATTTTAAAAGCTTTATAACTACCAAAACCCCTTCACCCCTTCACCAAGCCTTCCTGAATCAGATCTCGCGCAGAGTATCAAACTAACTAGTAGCAAGCTCGATATAGTAAACATTAGATTTGGAATCAGGCTTGTCGCTTCTGATGATGAAATTCATGCCAGTACGTCATAATGCAAGAGTTTTTTGTTGTGGATCGAAAATTTGAAAAATCGAATTGAGCCTAAATTGCACAATTTCTTCGAAGCAACCTAAGCTAAGAAGTCGAAAAAACACAACAGCCGAAAAAACAATAAGGCGAAGGGCGGGCATTTTTGATCGAGTTCAGTTGCTATTCACAACTGACCTATTCATAGGGAAAACGATAGGGAATTGTCTGGTTTCTGATAGAGAACAAGAAGAATGGTTCCAGAGTTAAGTCCGAACTTGAAGTGCGTTCCTGTGAACATTCGAACAACTAGACTCGAGACCCTTTCCATTGAAGGAAACTTCTTATTCAAAAATTTATCGAAACATGTCAAACATTATGAGTTAGTTAATTACCTGCGTTTTGTATAGTTTTTCTTATTAGAATCATTTCCAGAGTTATTTTAACGTACTAAGCTCCTGAATTTCGATACCAGAGATTGTTTTATCTGATTATGTTGAGATAAGGTGAAATTTAGGTTGACACATTTGAAATGGATCAAACACACTTTGTTGCTAAATAGGGCTTGCATCACTGAGCGAGCGTCTATGCAACTTCTAGGTCGGAGGTAAGCAACTTTGAATTTCTAAGTTTTTTTTTCTTTTTTCATAGTCAGTGAAACTATAAGAACTGTTTGTTGCATTTAGAGAGGTTCAGTTTGGTTCACAAAATATTTAGGGTTAGCTTCAGTTACCCTTAGTTTTATAGGGTGGCCACCAACTGATTATGGAAGGTTCTATGTTTTTATGATTGTCCAGGGTTTCCTCCTAAATATCTTTTTTAATAACTGAGCAAGAGTATTGATCTTCTCAGCTTTGTCTATATGCTTGTCAAAAAATCTCTAAATATGCATACAACGACTTTTTGCCACCTGACAAAATGTTTCTATTGATGCCGTTTTCAGAAACTGTTGATGTCAGTTCTCATACATCTTGGTTTATTGACTTATTTCAAGTTTTATCTTTCAAAACAATTCGAAATTGCCAGGCTGTCGAAAACGTATAAACCACAATAGATTTCCGTACTTTTCAATGGTGTTTTAGTTCTTTGGAGGCCTTATCATGGGGCGTTATGTTTAGTTCTCAGAGTGGTGTAGGGGTTTATTTTGGTAGTAGCTTTTAAGATGTAATGACCCCGAAGTTCCTTTTCTATTGGAACCACAATTTGGCTCCGACCATTTGATGAGGAGGAACACAAGAGATAGTGTTTTGGGCCCCTGAGTCAAGGGTTACAGAGACCATCAGGTATTTATGTATTTTAAGTATTAAGAGACAATGCAATGTTGGCGTTCTATTCAAATTCTAGAGGGGAAAAGTTAATTTGGTTTTTGCCTTTAAGTTAAAGTTACCCGGAAGTTCCGTGTCTAATGAACCACAAATTGGCTCCGACCGATAGACATAGAAAAGCAGAACAGATAATTTTTCTGGCCTTTGAGCCACTCTTTGGTGAGGTGAAATCAGAGTATTTTCGGGGGTTGCAAATTTTGACTTCAATTTTTGCAACCCTTGAAAATACCCAGACAGCACCCATTATACGATTCGTATTCTCAATTAAATCTTTAAAAACTTTTCATAGAATTCCAAGATATGTCATATCTCGGAAGCCATTAGGAGCCGAGTAGACAATCTTCGAGGCAAAATTTTCTCAGAAAAAATTGTCAAATCTTGCAAGCTGCAATGATTTCAGCAGTCATTTTCAGAAGGAAAAATTGCTAATCCTGAGAAAGTTCTGACAGTACCCCATCATAACGTTGCTAATTTCAAACTTTGTTAGGATTTTGATTTTCAAAATTTTTCAGAAGTTCTTGAAAAGTGTCATGTCTCGGAAGTTAAAAGAATTTTAGCAATCATATTTGCAAGCAAGATTTACAACCCGTTTAAGTATCCTGACAGCATCTCACTATAAGAATTCTATCTCTAATTTTGGGAAAAGTTCTAAATTTTAACATAGAAAAATTTTCAAAACGTTGAATCTTGAAGCTGCCTTAGTTTCAGCAGTTATATGTGAAAACAAGATTTGCAAACCCTGAAAAACCTCTGAGAGCACCCCCCATAGGGTTACTAATTTCAAAATTTGGAAAAAAATTTTAATGTATTTTTTGCAAAGTTTTCATAAAATCATAATAAACACCATTTCTCGGATGCTAAAAAGATTGAATATGTTCTGATAATAAAACCCTCTCGATATTCCGATTTCAAATCATAGCCAACCGAAAATTTGAAAAGTCTCAAGAAACTCAAGTTAACATATACAAAATTAATGGCTATGTTTGAGCACTATTCAAACACTGATATCACCTTATTTGCTTGAGTTTCTGCGATCTTAGTTTAATGAAAATTTTCAAAAAAAGCACGTAATTAGAAAGAAATTAAATTTCTAGGTAACTCTTATATTTTGCTAGGTGTTCTGATATTTATAATTAATGTTTGAAACAGTAAATCAATCACGTTTTTCCAAATTTCATTTTTGATATTAGAGATCAAAATGGGCTTTCCGTTTACCAAATGATGTCGCATTGAAATTGTAAAAAAATCAAAATGCAAAAAGCAAAGGAAAACAAATATTTTTGTGCCTGGACAATTTTAAAAATTTATCCTGAAAAAAACTACATGACCTAAATAAGTGTATTGACTTCGTTCACGGACAGTGAAAAATACTGACACTCTCATCAGGGGCAGCTTTAGGATTTTCTCGAGGGGGGGCAGATTTTCCAAAAAATTTTGAAAATTTTGACTTTTTTTTAGGTCGACCAAATTGATTTTGGTAGCTCTCCTAAAGCAGTGAAAAGACGCTGTTTTGGCCAAGTTTTCTGCCCCGCAGACAAATTTTTGAACAAAAAACAGGTCAAAAAAGCCGTTTTTAGGCGCTTTTTGGAAAATTTTGGCAAAAAAATCGCGTTTTTTGGCGCGCGCTCCCCCTCAAATTTATTATATAGTGGTGCCAAAGGCGCCTTTAGAAAAAATTCAGTGTCGGTCGGCCCAAAATGGATTTCTTAAAAAGTACTAAAAGGGGGACCCTTTGGGTCGGCAGAGGGTCGAATCCCTGAGAGAGGGGCGTCCGCCCCTCCCCCTAATTCCGCCCGCCCCTGACTTTCATGTTAAAACGAATATCTGGTTTGAGTGTTTTTTTTAACTTATTTTAGATAACCACAGGCAGTGGATTGGGCATGTTTAATATCACTGACTTACAATTTGTTCCTAAATTTGTTTGTGTTTATCATAATTGGAACATTAGTATCTAAATCGGAAACGGTTCAAATCAATTTATTCGCGCCACATAAAAATGGCCGAAATTTTCCAAAAACAAAAGATAATTTTTGGGTTAAAAAGATCAAATGAGATTTTTAAACGTTTATCGTTTATCGTTGTCACAAATTTTAGATCTTAAACGAAGTTTGAAAGACTGAAAAATTTTATTAGAATTAAACAAAAATTAATATCAACATTGGCGTTAGTGTTACGAATTAAGTTTTCTACCATATTAAAGATTTCAAGAACAAATAGTTTTTTCGAGTTTTCAATAGTAACTACTGGTGTATCCAATTGCGGCGACAAATCTATTATGTCATCAATTAAATCATTGACTGCTGATTTATCGTAGTTTCATACAGTTACGTATAAGCTATTGCGTAATATTTCGTTAGACGACTCGCGCGCCCAGTTCGGCTTCGACGAAGTGAGCCAGGTCGTGTTTGTTCATGGATTTGATTGCACAGATCAGTTCTCGTACGGCCGAGTCTTGTCGGTTTCTCGCCTCCCACAAGTCCAAAATATGAGAAGTAGGCGAGTTTTTGCTGGCAAAATAGTTGATGTACCTGAAACAAATGCCAATATTAATGGATATCAGCAAAAAATTCTACAATTATTACAACCAACTTCTGTGAACATTGCATGAAATTGGGAGCAGATATACTGCGTGCTCAATTAGTATCCATTTTATCGCCAGCCAAATTTTAAAGAAAAAAAGTTACCTGAGTTTTATAATTGATTCTAATACATCTAATAAAAAACAGCTTTCATTTATTTTACTTAGTATTTACGAATCAATGATTTGAAAAAAAAACGATTTTTTTTTCATAATTTTACTTTTTTTGAGTGATCAATACCTCCATAAATATGATTCACAAGGTTGGGGCTATAAATTTGTCTATTTAAACGCCCAGAATTTCCTATGGCATTTCGCTTAAAAATAGCTGGCTACATATGAATAATTCAGTCAATTCTTTCATTCTGAAACTAATTTGTCAGTTTTATTGCAACTTTTGGTTTCCACTTTCTTTGCAGAATCTGGCGCATAGTTTCACGCAATTGAAATTATTTTGCAGGAGTTATAAGTATACATCAAGTAATCGTTAAACTACCAACCACCCATTCTTTCGGTGCTTTGAATGATTTCAAAACTGCAAAACACGAGCTTTAAAAAACCTTCAACCTTTTTATCCCCATGAATTGATTTACGTTCAACTGCCTGAAAAAAATCAAATCTTATACTTTGGTGATGAAAATTTTTTTCACAATTTCAAACGTGGAAATAAAAATTTCCTCGTAACCTGGTCACAAATAAGTTATATGAAGACACTTTTACTTCTTAGTGAATTTCTTCTACCCTTAAGATAACTTTGTTCAACTGTCTCAACCCAGTTATTGATTGGAGAAACAGCATTAAGTTTAATTCAATAAAGAAGAAGTTGACTATTTTGAAGCTCACACGCAACGCCTGAGTAGTTGATAGTCAATTCATTCTCTTATAAAGAAGACTGTCTTTTTTTTATTTGTTTCAAAAAATATGGTCACTGTCATTCCAACATAGAATTGGCGAAAACTTCAATGCATCCGCACAAAAGTGATCATTTGAACTAAAAATTTTTGAAAATTATAATAATTTTAGAATGTTAACCTTTAAGGGGTTTTGTAGTTAACCCCTTAAACTGGAGCCCTCTCTCGCGCCAAACACCCCTCCCCCCTCCCCCGGGGGAGGGAGGGGGATATTTGGCGCGAGGGTAACTTTTCAAGTACACTCGCATGTGTTTATACTAAAACACAATATGTCAAATTCTCTATACATGTATCGACGGAGCGTAGCGCGATGCTGAGGTGACCCCAGGAGACTTTTTTAATTCAATTTTGAAGACCTCTCTGACCTAATCTACCCGCGGCTTCTAATCCAGAGGAAAAGACCCGCAGAGACACGGGCTGCACGTGAGTATTTGATTTGGACTGCTTGTTCAAAACCAGCCCTTGGGTGCGGGCAAAGATAGGCTAGTTGATAAGCTCATTTGATGAACGCATTCTTTGATGCGAATCGCGGCTACCAAAGAACCCAAAATGCAAAACTCATCGGATAAGTTTTAATCATTCTAAGTGATGCGCAATGTTCTTGAACAATTATCGAACATTTGAAAAACCATTACCAAAATTTCAAGTTCAAAGACAAAAAATGGTCTTTTATTTCATTTTTTAATTCAATGGTCTTTTATTTCACATGCTTACATTTTGAATCAACATTTTACTATTTTTGAAATAAGCAAAGTGGTATGCATGTTTAGCAGTTGGTAAAAATAACTTTTCCTTTTCATTTTCTGTAGAAATTCTCTTACTTTTGCCGCGGTAATAAATTGTAAAATGTAAATTGTGAAAGATGGCTCAACTTAGGTGTTCCTAACAATAAATTTTCAAATGGGCTGCTCTGTTTTGAGATTACTTGGGCATTTGGTTGCTGTTTGTGTTTTAAGAAAATTCATGTGGCTTGTTTTTTCTTCAGGTGGATGATGATACGCTCCAGTGAATGCTAATCAGGAGTTGACGATGATCATGGAGTGTCAAAGGAACTTTTCTCATAAATCATTCAGTTTTACCGCCCAGGCCAGACCAAATTTTTAAACCCGTGGGATGCGTTTTCCCACTAACGATGCCAAACAACTTCATTGCACGATCGTAGGAATAAAATATTGTTTCCATTTGAGTGGTTCCGTTTGTTTCCGCAGTTATAGGGGAAAATACAGATAGACTAGACTGTTAAGTTTTACTTCAAAATACAGAATGGTATTTGAGTATCAAAAAAATATTCAAGGTTTTGAATATGTATGTCATTTTAACATAAATAGCACCAAGTTCAACTCACAGAACTTTAAGTTATAAAGTGACATGACCATGCTGGTTGCCGAAAGCAGTTGCTGAGCCCTTAACCATCTTGATGTCTAAACCCATGACTCTTCAAATCATGTCAACTAAGCTCATGGCTCCTATTATCATGGTTCCTAAAACCATGACTCTTCAAATCATGTCCACTAAGCTCATGGCTCCTATTATCATGGTTCCTAAAACCATGACTCTTCAAATCATGTCCACTAAGCTCATGGCTCCTATTATCAGGGTTCCTAAAACCATGACCTTCAAATCATGTCCACTAAGCTCATGGCTCCTATTATCATGGTTTCTAGGCTCTTGTCTTCAAAGTGCATGAATCTTATGGTCAAGGTTGCTATGCTAGGGATTCTATTTTAACTTTCATTGGCCGACAACTCACCGGTCGAAGTTGAGTTTCTTAGCGAGGAACACCCAGTCGTGCTGTGAGTAGGAGGGGGAGTCCATCACCTGGCAGATCCTAACTCTAACGTGGGAGGAGAGTCTGAACACTAGTCCTGGGGGGTCATACACGCCAGTGGGGGTCAAGTCAACCACGCCACGCTTCAACAGGGCCGCGTCATTCTTCAAACAGGGCAAAAAGCGGTCAATCATTGATAAAAAACGTGAGGACAATATAAAGTAGAAAAACTATTGTAAATGTTTAGTATTTTTAAACTTACGAAATTCTCAATATTAATTCTCTTTAGACGCTCAAATAAAAATTTGTCGATAAAAACATTTGGTCTGCAAACGTTCAAAATTTCAATTAATTAATGATCATTTATACATCTTCTAAATCAATCAAAAGCCATTTAGTCAATCTTAACTTGAAATTTGAAATCATTGTTATGATTGAGAGCGAAGAAGTAAAGAGTTACTCACGGCAGACAGACGGATTGTGAAGCTGTGTATATCATATGAGGACATCTGGAACGCCTCTATCTTCGTCTCCAGCCACTGGTGCCCCCCTCCCCCACTAGCCCTGTTGTTGTTGTTGCCCCCCTTGGGCTGTTCGAGGGAGAAGGAGGCGTGGAGACTGCTCTGGATCGCACACCAGATATGGTTGAATGGCACGCTCTTAAAAACAAAAAAAAAATCATACTTAAAAAGTTAAGGTTAAAAAAATGGAGACAAAATTGTGAGAAAAATGCTGGTTAGAAAAAAGGGCATGCTCAAATTACTCAACATACGATATACAAATCTATCAAAATGAAGATACAAATTCAAAACTTCGAGACAGTCTAGCACTTAAACAATGTTTTTTTTTCATAAAATTGAAATTTTCTGCATTTGTGGTAAGTTGACAGTAATTTTTTTTGAAAACGTTGTCTGCATAAAATGTACTCAAAGAGACTGTAAATGATTAGTCACTAACTGCAGACAATTTTTCGATTTTTAAAATTCATCAACTGAGAAGATAGTTTAGAAATCAGCTGACCTGTTGGTGGTTGGACACTTTGCATCTCCAGCCCATGGACAACTCTGTCAGGGCCAGATGCAGCCCACTGTCCGGACTGTCTCTGAAATGCATCAGCTTGCAGCAGTCCATCATCACTCCCCCACTCTTCTTCTCGAAGTCGATCACGTTCTCCAGGGCGTCCTGGGTGTCGTCCACGCAGTAGATGCGGATGTTGTAGTCCTGCAGACGAAGGGCAGCCGGGGCGAAAGCGGAGAGAAGGAGGCGCTTTGTGGCAGTTTTTCCCACTTTGCTCTTTCCAACCAGGCAGTACCTAAAAGAAACACCGAACTGCTACAAAATTAGTTTAAATTTTAAAAAAAACTAACTGCTAAAAAATAACTCCAAAAATTTGAAATTTCTGTGCTAGAAAGAATAAATGCTAACATATAATTACTGAACTTTATTTTTCAAATAAATAAACATTCAATCAAATAAAAAAAAATTTTTTTTTGAGGTCAAAATATGGAATTAAGTTCAAAATATTGAAATAAGTAGAGAAACAATTTTTTCTTAAGGCAAAGTTTGGAACTTTATAATTTGCCTTCACAGTGGTTTAAAATTGCATGTTATTGGATGTTTGAAATTTTTATACACTTTGCTTCGAAGACAAACTGATCAAGACATTACTCACTTGTCGTGTATGCTCTCAATCAAAATGTGGCATCTATCTTCGTCCATTTGACAAAAAGCAGCCGAGTTCAGATTCTCCTCCCCCAAAATCAACAAATTCTGCCAGGCACTCCTAGTCACCACAGTACCATGTAACACACTCAGGGTCCAATCACTCATCGGGTTCAAAGCTGAGTGGGCGAAACTTAGCACTACAGGACGCAAAAACTGAGCATTTGAAGGTCCACAGACAATTATTGGACTTAGAATTGTGCCTCCGTCAGGTAATTTAGGTCTTTCTCTATCTTCATTTGAGATCGCGAGATAGACTTCTTGACTCTTCCCAGGAGCAATGGCTCCTTCTGGAACCAAAAGCGAGACTCCGGATCTTGGCAGGCAGAGACGTCCGCCAGAAGAGGTGAAAGTAGCGATGACAAATTTCTCGTCGATGACAGATTGGAGTATTTCGTTTTGGGCTTCGTAGAATCTCTTTGAAGCGACTAGACATCGACCTCCGAGGCCTTGGTCTAAAGCTCCGTTTGAGGTAGGGTCTTCACAACCACTGTCGTTTGAAAGTCTAGAAAAATATTTTATTTCAGAATACAATACTTCTTAACGATCGACACAAACTATTTTGAAAAATTTCGACGATGATCGAACTAAAATGTTCTCTACGCAAAACGCTTGCATAAACTTTCATAGAAAAGAAGCTGCAAAACTGCAACATATTGTCTTATGCACACACCGCACATACATACCGTTCATATTTCTTGCGGCCTGATGACGATCCACTTTGCTCCGTTTTATTGCAGCTCTCTGATTGGTCGGCTTCTTCGTCCAGTTGATACTCTCCCTCGTTGAAAGTAGTGACGTCATTGGCTATTGACGAGTAATGGTCACCTACCATGCCATTACTCATGGACTGCGGTGATCCCATGTGTGGCATTGTATGGCTCCCTCCGTCCATACTTTTCATGGGTATCATAGGAACCATGACTTCACCTGATCCAGGAGAAAGGCCATTAGGGGTCATTATGGTTCCATTGGGGTACATGGTTTGCTGATGTTTGTAGACACCGTTCGGTTCCACGAAGTACATCGGTTGTCCCGGTGAGGTGTTGTAGCCTCCGGATGACATCATTGATTGACTGCAAGGAGGCATGGCGATGATCTCGGCTGAAAAAAGTCAAGTCATTTTTTTTGAAATTCAAGTCATTTTTTTAATCGAGAAGCGCATTTTCCTAAAATTATTAATCATTAAAACAGGGGCGAATTTAGGGGGGGCGGACGCCCCCCCCCCCCCCTCAGGGATTCGACCCCTGCCGATCCAAAGGGTCCCCCCTTTGTACTATCTTGAGATCTCCATATTTGGTGACGGACTCTAAAAATTTTCTAAAGGCGCCTCCTTACTTTAAAAGGGGAGCGCGCGCCAAAAAAACGATTTTTTGTCAAAATTTTCTAAAAAGTGCCTAAAAACGACTTTTTTGGCCTGTTTTTCAAAATTTTGCCTGCAGCGCAGAAAATTTGACTAAAACAAGGTCTTTTTAGTGCTTTGAGAGAGCTCGGAAAATCAATTCGGTCGACCTAAAAAAAAAGCCGACAAAATTTTCGAAATTTGTTGAAAATCCGCCCCCCCCCCCTCGAGAAAATCCTAGATCCGCCCCTGCATTAAAACTTTCTTTTGATAATCGGAAATCTTTCAAACTATCGTCTCTTTAAGGATTGTCAAACTATCTCTAGGAAACAATCATTTCGCCAATTCTTACTTAGGACGTGCATAAAGCTTGGAATTGACTTGCAATGCTGAAATCATTCAAAAACTATAATCTGGTTCACCATTTTTTGAAGTTTTACTCAATAATTCAATTGAACTGCAACCAAAATACATGTAAAAAAGACAAAAACTAAACCATTTAAATGCTGTATTTCCAAGACACTTTGTGGAAACTTTTTGACATTGACCCCAAAAATGGTGTTTCAGTTTTGAGCAGTTTTTAATGAGAACTTAATATCTTGTCATGTTTTATTTTTGCGACTGACTCACAGCATGGTACAAGTTTCGCAGGCATATCGTACACTTTTTGGGGGTTCATTTTGGGCAAAATGACATGAAAAATGACACTAGATACTTTAACTGTCTTATTCAATTACCCATTCCATGCTAAAGAATTATTTTCCCAAACTTGAAAGCGCAAAATACCCCGGTTAATAAAGTTGGGATTTTGAATTTTAGTGAGTCAAATTCTTTCAATTTAGACTGTTCTTTAAATTGAAGTTAGAAGTCGCAACGGCTAAATTAAACACATATTCTGGAATTAACTTTTCCAGAAATACTGTCACACGCAATTACCCCGAAACACGCCAGAATTCGGGTTTGAGACTCAAACTAGAGCGAAGAAGAGTTTAAAATAACTCATGTCCGTCCATTTCCAATTTGGGTATTAAATTAAAGCGAGTTGGGAATTAAGGCAACTGTATATGCCCATGGCCAATAATACCCTCAAAAGGCCGCAAGTGAAACTCCTAAATTGCTTCTACTCTGCGTTTTATTTCAAAATTGTCTTTATTTTTCAGGTCAGAAAATAAGTCTGGATCTTGCCAATTTCAAAACGAAGCGAATTAATTTTTCTGGAGAATACCGACCAATTATTTCTTTAGACAAATCCAAAAAATACAATTAAACTGAACAAATTTTTCGGGGCGAACTAATACTTCTCCGCCGTTTCGAGATATTTAGTTTATCGATGAGTCAAAATATTTTGAGTATCGAAGAGCTCTGTCATAAATTTAGACATTTGAAAACAGAGAAAATTCGGTGCTGATCCACGTCAAAAAAAAATGATTTCAACCTGCGCAAAAATATTCCTGGCTTAAACAGTCTCGCTATTTTCTCGCTGCCGGCAAACTTGGCATGGTTGTTTATTGTGTTTGGCAAATGGTAATAAATAGCCCACTGAAGAATAAACAACGCAATAAGCGAGAAATAATGCCGAGTCCAACTTCATAATGCAAAAAGCTGGGTAAAAAACAAGTTTGCAGCAATAAAATATTATTTCGGAAGTCGAGTGCGGTGATGCCTTTAGAAATAGACAACTATTCAGTAAAACCACCCAGAAATCCGAATTCGCGATCATAAATTTTATTGAATTAGGGCCCTAATATAGCCTCAAACTGTACCAACCTTCAAACTTGAACTTTAAGCTTAAACTATTGAATTTGAGTTGGTTCGTTTCCGTAAAAACTTCTAAAAAGATTTGTCATTTGATGAATATCCTAAGCTGCAAATAAAACTCAAATTAACGCAATGATACTTAAACTGGTATCAATTTGTACTTATACTTGTATAAAAAAGACTACATCATGCACCGCAAACTCAAGATTTTAGAATTAAAAATTAAAACAAACAAAAACATTGAAATTTTCAGTTTTGAACATTCGATACTTTTCAAAAGCAGCAAAAAGAAGGATGCAGATAAAATTTTGTGCAATTTGTTGCTTGAATTACTGACTGATTTGTACAAATAGCAAACAGGTAGTTTGTTTGACATACGCGAAGTGTTATAGTGGTAAATGTCGTCGAGAAGTCGGGCGACTTGTGCTGAAAAGGAACCCAGTCAATGAGTATTTCAACAACTCACAAGTGAACAAAATGAAGACGACCAGCAACAGATGAACAAAAAATGGTGATATCATTTGCATTGTAGCAAAATTTGGAAAAAACCTACAGATATAATATGTAGACCCAATCACGTTGGCATCTGAAATTGTTATTTATAAATAAAACAAATGCTATTAGAAGCAAGGACACTTTTATGGAGAAAAAAAGTCGCTCAACGAAATAACAATCTAAACTTAACACAACGAGGAAACTTTTTTGGCAGTTTGATTTTTAAATGACAATGCTAGCCAAATATACGCAATAAATATTGAGATTTGGTCTAAATTCGGAAAAAAAATCAAAATGAAATTGCAACTCACTTTCTCCGTGTTTTGAAACCACAATGCTGTTAGGGGAGTAGACAGAGGCTATATGGTTATGTGAAGATCCCACTCTCCCGCTCGGATAGGCTTTATGAAGGGCGACACTTCTGCTCTTCCGGTACAGCACCAGGACGACAACAAGGGCGACAACTACGAACATGATTACGGAAGAGATTACTCCGACCATCACTGCTTGGTCTCGCTTTCTCTGCTCGCTGTGGAGATCCGCGTTGTTTCTTGGCCGCGGGTCGATATTCATAGTGACGCTGTTTGCGAATTGGGATCCTAAACATTTTTAAAGCAAACTCAGACTGATAGAAGTTGTAGGAAAAATTTAAGCAAAGTCTATCATTTCCTATTCTAAAGTATGATTTCAACTTTTTCTATGATTTCGCCTTTTGATCATTTTTTACTCATTTTGATCACTTCACTTGGAAAATATTACGCATTTAAGAGCAGCTATTGTTAAATTACGCGACACAAATTTCACAAAAGAATGTTTCAAGCAAGTCGACAAACTGTCAAACAATAAATGTCGATAAATTAATAGGATCAATTGAGCTATCTAGGATCAAATTTTTTTACAAATTTTGTTTGGGCGACCTTTGCCTCTTATCGAGAGAATGGGGGGGGGATTGCTCAATTGATCCAATCATCACTTGAGCTTATTTATTTATTTATTTATTTATAATATTCATCCATTTAATATTCATCATCATCTTTAGTGGAATAATAATAAACTTAGAAACCATTATCTTCACACTTACCGCCCCCGTTCGATGTTCCACTTCCGAATGCATCCGCTCCCCCTCCCCCTCCCCCTCCCCCTCTGATTCTCCCGATATCCCCGTCACAAGAGCCCTGGCATTTTTCAGACTCAGTGGACAGAGCGAAGCAGCCAGTGCCTTCCTTCTGCAAGTCTTCATTCCAGCACATCCTGTATTTCACCCTTCTACCCATTTCCCCACAGGCTGCTTTGCACTCACTCCAGCCTTGCCACTCCAGCCACGTCTCGTGGTCTGAAAAAAACCCCAAAAAATTCAAACTTGGCTCCAAAAAATTTTTTATTTTAAACGAAAGCTCTTTCCCAGTTTTCAAATTTTAACAGCAAAATTTCTGTTTTCAGAACTGTTTTACGTGTTACTGAGGCTAATTAGGCGATTTTAAGATGTAAAGCTTCGAGAACAAATCTGTTCAAAACAGTTCGTTTGTTCATCATAAAATTTCGCTGCATTTAGACAATGATAACATAGTTTCTCAAAGTTGAATTTCAAATGCACCAGTGGGTGAAAAAGAACTATAATCACAAAGTTGTCGATCTGCTGCAAAACTTTTGGATCTAAGATGATTTTCCTTGATTCAGGTACGCAGTTCTGCGTATCAGGCATTACAACGTTTTCACATCAAAATACTTGTTTTACAACAGCTAGTGATCAAAATCCTTGTCTTTGAAACAGGTCTGAAGGTTATTCACTTCCAATTTTGTTAATCATTATTTTCCAGAAAAAAACATCAAGAAATCTGATCACTTCAATTTTGTTCTTCCATTTTAATATTCGCATCTTCAGCTGCACTTTTGTTCACAAATTTTTCATCACGGCTTGACAAACATCAAAGGGAAACATAGCTTTTTTCTCAAAAAATGAAGAGCGTTTCCGTCTCGCTCAGATCTGAAACGTGAATTTCACCTTGAGAGGCGGAACTTCCTTTTCATCACCCGTTAATCAACATGGCAACCTCGCATCCACTCGACCGCAGAAAGAGTCTTACTGAGATCGCCCCCTTTTCCTCTCATTTTGCGGGTGAAGAGGAAAAACCCGCGGATGCACTTACAGAAAAATCTTTTTTTTTTTTCGATTTTGTTTTAAGAAATAATATAAATAATATGTACTTCTCTATCCAATTCAAAAATACGAAAATTTCTTAATTTAGTTGTAAGAGAAAGGAGAGTACATCATTTTTTCGAAAATATCAAGCAATAATTATTTCTGAAGAACCAAATCATCTTTTTGTACCATAAGAAGAATCACTTGTAGAAAAAAAAACACTTTCCAAAGGACATTTGAAAGACGCTTTGCATTTTGATTAAGATCATTCCTCTCAAAATAATTGGAATAATTCTATGCAAATAACAACTCATTTTTCCCTATTTTTCAGTGCATAATACACATTAGTTATCAGTTTAAAATAATCCTAGAAAACCGTAAAAGAAAAAATTAGAGGATTTGAATAAAACTTCCCGTTTTAAATAAGATTTAGCTCATTTCCTGTCCTTTCTAAACAGTTTCCTGAATTTTTGCAACCCCTTTTACCTAATTTAATTGCTTCAGTAGGAAACTGCAAAAAGCTTCAATTTTCAGATGCTACCAACTGAAATACTAGAAAGCTGAACGGTAACAAAAAAAATAAAGGTATTAATTTTTCACATAGGGGTAAATTAATATTTTATGATTTGATTTTTCAACAAGATTGCTTCAAAACCGCCTTTTATTTATCTTTTCTCGCGTTTTTGCTCGATTTTTCCATTAATTTTCATATTTAGGCAGATTTCCATTGTTGTGTTATGGAGCCAAAATACTCGTCACAATCAATTTGGCACTTGAGGGGCTGTGAAGATAGATGGAGGAAATATAGTAATGGAAAAATGATTCAGTCTCCCCTAAAATGACACATTTGTCAAGATTAGAAAAGACACTCGATGAGACAAAAGGTGAAAGAAGATATATAATGTAATCTGATCTTCTCCTTGATTGCGCAAACTCGACCCAAAATTTCAATTTCCCTTTTATTAACTTCAAAACTCAGGGTTTACCCCAGATTCAATTTCTTTTCAAAGCTAATGTAAGTATTATTTATATATTTTGATAATGGCGAGTCTTACCTACAATCAAATTAACATCTGAGGCTAAAATTCATCTTCAGCTATCAAACAAAGACTTTCATTAAATCTTTTACAATGCAATTTTCAAGAAATAATTTAAAAGTCTTGCAAAACTTTTTCTGGGTAGTTTTTATCTAGAAAAAAAAACAATATAAATGTCTTGGATTGATTTGCGTAAAATTTCTGGTTTCTGCAAATTTTTTCTGGAGCACAATTACTATGCGCGCGGTACTAATTACCATGCACGGTATTAGCAAAAAAACTTACAAGCGATGTCCAGCTTTGCGGCCTTGCTTCTCCGAGGTTGCTTGAGCACATTGAAAGCGATGCAGGAGTAGTTTCCTACATCCTCTTCCCGGAAGTTGAGCACTTCCAAACTGGTCGTACCTAAAACAGAAAAATTATTTGAGAAAAAAAGGATCACCGTCTTCCATAATACAAAGCAATAATAACTTTTTGACTTACTTTGATGTCATTTCAGAGAAAAAAGGTTAAATAGGTAAACATAACTTAGCACCAGGTTTTTTTTTAAAAAAGAATAAAGAAGACAACAATCGACGCAGTCGCAGTACAACAAAGCCGAAAAAATGTTGTTCAAAAGTGCCGAAAACCAATTTTCGGCATTGTTGGACAATTTTTAGTTTCGGCACTGTTGCACTTCAGAACTTTTGAACGACACTCAAAAAATCTTCAGATTTTCTTTCTATTTTTCAGATTTCTTTTGGAAAGATTTCGCCCTTTATTTCATTAAATCTAATGAAGATATTACTGGGCTTATGAAATGAGTCATAATTTCCATGTAGTACCCTTCATTCAAGTTGTACAGATGAAGAAGAGAACTCAAGTTGAACTTGATTGCAAATTGACACAATGGCAATCAAAAGCTCAGCTCAATCTTCATTCACGCAGTGAACATTGAATAATTTTACAATTTCCTTTCATGATTTTGCATTTCCAGTGGAGATTTTCACACTTTCCATGGAACCCGTTCACACTTTTGCTTCATTTAATGGTGAAATGTCCCTGCTAAGCTGATTAGATTCACAAAAGATTGGCGCTTCGATAAGGACAAAGGAGAAAATTAGCCTTTTAAAATGTCCGCGGGAGCTAAAAACTAAATCGTTTAACAGAGTTAGAAAGGATGAAAGAAGCTCGTGCAATTAGCTTTCCTTTTTTCTACGAAAAAAAGAGAGTTAGGCGAATTAGAAAAAAAAGGCTCAAAAATATTAACAGATTTCAAGCGAAAATGCATTAAAGGTTTTTTAGATTGAAAAAATAACTTGATTTTATTGAACATTTTTTATTACATTCCCATTTTTGACTTGGAGTGAAAACATAATTGACAAAGGGGGGAATTACTTTCCATTTAGATTATGTAATTAAGCCTTGACAACTCCCGTTATGTCAGAAAAGCAATTTGGTTGAAACTGTTTCGGGAGTCATTCATAGTGTCACCCAGGTACGTCACAACTATTCAACAAAAATGTCAAATTTTTCAATTAACTCTAAAATTCCTCATCATTTTAATCAACCATACCAGGCAACTTTCATCAGCGTTTTGATTGTAACGCTAAAAAAGTTACAAAGAGTTTCATATAAGAAGGTGTTAGTGTTAAATGACATGACTAAGACTTTTTAAATTAATTTTTCTACATTTCTCCACCAATTTTATGCAACAAATATAAAGTTTTTAGTCCAAAAGGCCGTACTCAAATTTCAGGAAAAATGCGCAGCTATAAGATAACTATTTCTATCAAGGAAAATTAGTTTCCATGTGTAAAATTAGAACAAAATGTCGTGATACTCAAATTGCACGCATGAAATCAATGAAAAAGTTATTATCCCCTAAAATCGTGGCATAATTAGAACTTACTGCAGGTGTCGCTACACGCATAGTTACTTAAGAGTCAATAGCATGAATAATTTATCAAACACGGCACACACGTTTAATGATGCTTATCACAAGGAAAACAAAACTTCTTAAGCACAAAAATTCAATTTTTATCGATTATTTACTTTAGTCTTATGGTATATTCTCAAATTTCATCATTTATTCATCTTTTTTCCCAACATGAGTTTATTTTTGATTATTAAATAAAAACCCTCATTGATAAGAGGGTGAATCATTTTCGCCCCAAGATTTAGGTGAAATATTCTCTAAGGATAAGGAGAAAATATCTAGTCTTAGTCATAACAAGGATGAAAACTTATAACTTTTTCTGATCTTTTGAGCCCTAATTTAATAAGTTGTCAGTCTACAAGGATTCGAATTTCAGCTCCCTAGGTGTTGGCTTGTTATCTAAGGAGGTGAAATTGATAATATAAATTACGTAAAATTAAAAGGAGACAGGAAAAGATTATCTCATTTCATAACGGCGAAAACTCAGGAAAGTCCACTGAACCTAAAAAAGTCTTGAAAATAATCCCAAGTTGGGTATTTCTGGATTATTGAGATTAACTGTTAAAAAGTCCAGAAGATGAAGAGGAAAATTCTGATTAAAGCTCAATTTATACTGCATTGAAAAATTTTATATCTGTATAAATTACTTTCACCGAATTTTAGACACAAAACAAGATTAATCATTTCTGAATAAATTGTTACAGGGTCTATTCTATATCAAGGTCAAACAAGAAACTTGTTTATGCTATCTATTTACATAAAACCGTTTTTGTTTATTTAAAAAAAAAGTGTATCCGGGTTGCATCTACAAATTAGCCGGATGATGATTCGTAAACAACGGCGCCAGTTTGCCTCACAGTTTGAGAAACTAAACCAAACGAGAGCAGATTGTGAATATACAAACGGTTAGCTGAATTGAGTTAGTCTGACTCAAAAGTGAGCTTGTAGTTGCAGATGGTGAGGGGATTAGCACACTGGTATGCATCCCCTTTTTAAGAGGGGACTTCATAACAAGTAGATTAGTCGAGGGCCATTTTTCATTCAGTCATATTATTTCCAAGATATTGGATTAATTTAGTTAAATAAAATAATTGAATGCTTAAACTCCAGAATTTTTTGATTTGCCTATTTTCCACCCTTGCCTAATTTCCACCCTTTCGGGTCAAATATTGCTATTCAATTTCAGATTTTATTTAATTCAAAGTTGTTTTCTGACAAAAAAATCAGTAAGTTGCTAGTGACCATTACATTTCTAGAAGTATTATGATCTACTTGCATAGCATATCCACGATTTTTTCAGAAATATAATAACCAAAACACGCTCATCATTTTTTGCCGACTTAATTTTGACTCATTAATTTTTTTTGGTTGGTAGTTTTAGTATGTTACGCCGGCAGACGACAGATTTCCTCAGTAACCGGAAACAACAGTCTCCGAAAATCAAATTTTTCCTCTTCGCTTTCCAAAACAGCGGAACTATTTCAATATAATTACCGACCCTATGACCGGATTTTCTCATACAAAACAGCGCATTATATGCATTATTCAAATTAGCTATTTAAAAACTTCGATCAGGCGCTCTTGTTAGTTCACTGACATCTAAATCCAATAGCAGCGATTAACTTCATAATTGGATTTATATTACTTTTTTGAAAAAAAAAGTTATGAAAATTGATAAAATGAAAAACGTAGGAAATAACAACTAGTAATTTTGTGTCATGCTTGAATAAGATTTAACTATCAACGATACATATGAGCCAAAAATTCCATCGGGCAATTTTTGCTTGTTTTTTTTTCAGTTTCTCATTGACTTTTTAATACAAAATACTCAAAAAATGAAAAAGCGAAATCATGTGTAAAGTTTTAATGAACTACGAAAGAATATGATACTTCTTGAGTACAAATCAAAACAAATAAGAGCAAATTTCAAATTCAAAAACACTTGCTTTGCTACTGAAAAACACACCAAGATAAAAACGGCACTTGAAATTGTTCGGTTCACGTGATCATTAAAACATGAAAGTGCTTCTTCAGGAAGAGGGGTGGTATTTGTTGTATAGTAGTAGGGGTTAAGACACCTCTTTGGGTGGGCAGATGATCAGATAGATCAACTGCGACTGCATTTCGACAGGTGGGGAAGATACCAATCTTAACAACCCGCGAAAATCAAACCAGCTTACGGCTGGCAATAACTTTTCCCCCATTGGTACTACTGGTGAAAAACACTACAAAAGCGCCAGGCTATGTCTATCTATCACTTATTGGTTATTACACCCGCGAAATTCAACCTTGTTTTTGTTTCTAGCTCCCGCTGATCATGGAAATTTTGGGAAGGGACTTGTAATTTGGCACCAGTTTTGTAAAAACAAAGTAGAAAATAAATCACGCCAGCATAACATAATATTTACAAAAAGCGCGGGAATAGAATCGCATATTGGAACATGCTTATAAAAAAATTCATTTCTTTTTTTTTTCAAAGACCAGCTCATGTGAATTTGATCTTTGTCTTCTTATGGCTTTAGATGAATAGAAATTTTATTTATTTTTCGCTACCAATTGTGCCAAAATGGTGTTTTTTCATTGGAATTTGACAATAAAAACGTCAATCCGAAATGTCCTCTTAAAATCAATCAATCACATTTAAATAAGCTCACAAAACTCAGTTTCTAGTTGAAATTGAATTTCTTTTAAATTTGACAAATATGAAAAAAGGCATAAAAAATCAAATCGATCGATAAATAATTTTTACCGAGATGTTTTGCAACAACTGTTTAAATATACGGACATAAGTCCAATATTTACAGACAATGTCAGTTGTCAATATACGCATTAGCACTGTTTGACTTTTGCGAACACGAGACCAGAGAAAAGAAATAATGGTGCCAAAACCGCCTGAAGAATCGTGAACAAACAGACTGTTCACACCAAAATCGACAACCTGGCTGATAACAAGGTGAAAACTTCTCTTGGAAGTGTCAAAATGTCTTTTCATGATTGACGTCTGATCGACTGAATGTGAGAACAAAGCAAAGAAACCTCGAGCTACGCTTATGTTTAAGCATTACCAAAGCGGGCACAATAGAAAAACATGAGTTGTTTAGGACGCCATTGGGAAAAACAGGTTTAGACGCAAAACAAACTGGGAGGTGCGAAATGGGTAGTCAAAACACGTCCAGCAGAGTTCATTGCTTCTTAAACACTTCACCGAGAAAATCAAAAGAAAGAGGAAGACTAGTTTGAAAGCAGTTTGTTTTAGCACCTTCTTGGAAATTAGTTCTTTTTGAGGTGTCGTTACTTTTCTAAAAACTTCAATTTTATTGGGATTTCTCTTTTTTTTTCATGATTTTTGAATTTCAAAGAATTGAAACTCTTTTGAAGTTTTAGGTAACCCGAAATTTAAATTGTTGAATCTTTTTGTGAGATTCCGCAAAAATCGTGCAGTTTTAGAAAAATATAGCGTTCAGTCTTCGTTCATTTTGCGGAATCTCAGCTGCCCATTCTTGGTTCAATACATACTAAGTCATAAATGATTGTAGGCTGACCTTTTTCGTCGCTGAAGCGGTACTTGTTCTTCTCTGGCTTCAACTCCCGGCCATTCCTCTCCCACGTCATTCGGGGGGCGGGGTCTCCGGTGGGGGGCACACACCTCAAAGTCACACTCTCCCCCCTCAATACTGCCTGGCTCTTGGGCTCGAAGAAAAAGTGTGAGTCCAGTGCTGAAACAGATACAGAGAAATTTTAATGCTGCAGAAGCAGGCGCACACAACTTTAAACTTGCTTATATAACTCTATCATGAAAGTCATTCATACAAAAAAAATCAAGTAATTTTTTCATTGGAAATTTTTTTTCTTTCGTTTCAGGAAAAAAAAACTATTTTTTTTTTCAGTTTGGGTGTGTTTTATTTTTTCGTTTTTTTTATACGATGACAATAACAATCATGATAATGAGTCAAGTGGTACATCATATTCAAGCCTTTTCAGCTGTGTTTTGAACGAGATTAAAAATATCAAAAAAATTGTCCCAGTGTCGAGAAAAACCGGTTAGAAATCAAAGACCTACTCGCTCGCTTTACACGCTCAAATTTAGACTGAAATTTTTCATTCGAGTAATGGAAAACTTAGTTTTAATCCGGTAAAACTAGTCTAGAAAGCTTCATTTAGAGCTTTCTTTGCAATAAATTCAAGATAAAAAAAATTACTCACAAAAATCAGAAATTTTTGATATAAAAAATATTCAAATTTATCCCCATTTTTTGTTCTTAATTCATTTTTCGAAGCCAACTGTTGTCGATTATATGTAATTCACTAAATTACACGTATCTAAATTATTGTCTCATCACACAACGCTCAAAACGACACAACTTGACAAAAAAATGAATGAGGCGGAAACTTTTTGCCCTACTTGCACAGCACTCGGTCACCCTTGTTTTATTTGCTGTTTGTAAAAAAAAATGTGTTCTTGTTGTTCCGAACTCTAGCAAGGGGGAAACTTTGTCTTCGGTTGTGTGTTTTAGGTTTTTTCTTTTCTTTTCTACTCAAAATCAGGTACCGCGATAAATCATCGGATTGGGTTGCCCGATATATCATATTCAACCACTTTCAGTCGTGATTCGAACATTAAAAATTTTTGAGTAGTAGTCTAAATTCCAACAAATACAGCGAGCGAATAGGCCTTAAAAGAAATATTTAAGTAGTGAAAAACTTGTTTTTACTCCAGTTTTACTTGAATGGCGATAAAAAGCTTTTCACATCAAAAACTAGAATTCATTTTTGAAATTTTTCAGTTTTGTTACTATTTTTTTTGAGTTTTCTAATTTAGAAGATTTCTGTGTCGAGAAAAACCGGTTTGAAAAATTTGCTTTTATCTCATTTCGAGCAAGTAGAGCGAGCATATTTTAATATCAACCTAATTTCAACGTTAATCAACTTGTTTTTTATTCTCATTCTTGATGTTTTCACCTAATTCAGTCAGGTTTTTCAAAAATACATTAAAATGAGCAAAAAATAAAAAAGTCACCATTTCTTTTTCGTTTGTTTTCCGTTTTCATAGGAAAATCTTCGCCGTGATTCTGTAAATTTTGATATTTGGATTGTTTTTTAAATGAGATTTGCACATTATTTTTTGCTATTTTTTAGTCGGAAAGATTCCTGTTAACAGTTTTTGCTCAGCATTTAAGTTCCATTGAAATTTGAATCGCTGCCGGTACTTGGAAGAGCGACTGCTCTTGGAGAAAATATCTTTAAAATCAACTGTTTTGATACAACTGTGCAAAAACGGAATATTGTTTCGACAAATACCCATCCATCACAACTTCCTGTTCCCTCATGCAACTTTACTCATAGCCTTGTCTGAGCCTAATATCAGCATGTAAGGTCGTCAATCAACCTTCGACCTATTTCAGCCTCTATTGAGCTAATTTGTTAACACTCTATTCACACAATTCACCTTCATTTTCAATTTTACAAAAATATATAAATCACCACTTAGCTCAGATTCTGGTTGCATGAAAATGATGCCAATAAGTTAATCGATTTACTCATTTGCTGATTAATCTGTTTAATAGTTATTACTCTTTCGCTAATTCAACATTTGAACTCGTTCTTGTGTAAAAACCACACCCAAGGGATGTTCTGATGATTTGACCCGTCTCAGATATGAGTCATTGATTGTGAAAAGTAGTTGGTAGTCTCATCATTAGCGTGTTTACGAATTGGGCTGTTTGAACAGATCAAAGATAAGCAGCGAGGCGGTTTCAAATAACTGATAAACCCCTCATACAAATAACAGACTTGGTCAACTTGCTCAAAACAGAGGAATATAAGTTAGACGGTAATGGTTTGTCTCTTAAAATAAGTTCAAAGAAGATTTAAATTTTGGAAATTATAGAATTTGGGTCTTAAAATTATAATATTTTTGTCATTCATTTGTGTGCTGTAGTCGATAACATATACTGATTACTTCCACAATGAATAAGCGCAATAATGGAGAGTATACTAACTGGCTTTTCGGATTTCCGCTGGCTCGCTAGTGGTTTCTCGCCCAGACCGACTGAAAATCCTGCACACACATTTCATAGAATCACCAGTGCCCCCTTTGGAGGCAGAGAGTTCCATAGTCTCACGAACAAAACTGTTCTCGAACTCTGAAAAATACAACAGAAGTGAACGATTTTTGGAAACAGCTAAATTGCCTTCGTCTCTTAATCTGAATGTCGGTAGTTCGAGGCCACGATTATCTTTGTACTCAAATCTTGACAGCGAGGCAATATATTCATGATAAATATTTCAACTGCTACCGTAAATTAGTATTTTATTGCACGCAGCACAGAAACTGTTTCGTTTTTTTTCCGATCGTTACTTTCGGAAAAACTCAGAAAAATTTTATTTCGGAAACTTTGAAAAGTAGGGGGCACGCAATTAGTTATATTCCTTCTTTTTTCAAGTTTGTCTCATACTTTCAAAATTTCCTCGATATCATGAGTTCAATTCAAATCTTAAGGACGCCAAAGGAGTAAACTAACTCATTTTGAACGACTTCGAGTCCGGCCCCTGCTCATCTGGCTTATCCAAATCATCTATAGGGTAGTGTCTTTCTCCACACTGGAAAGACAAGTGGACAGGTGCGGGGTCAGAGGTCACGGTACACGTCAAGGTCACTGAATTCTGCTCATCCAGGTACATCAAGTCTGACATCGAGATGATTCTGGGCTCGCCGGCTGAAACATTAGAAATTAACTTCAACATTGAGTTTTTGTTTCAAAAAATCACTGAACGTTTCAGATTATTTCAAGATGTTTTCCACGACTGTATGTGAAAAATCAAAATCAATTTATGTCTTTAAGACGCCAAAACTAACTTAAATTGTAAGCTTAAATCAAAAACCATTCAAACAGGTATCCTTATACAACGCTATTCTATTTTTTTAAAGTAAACAATAAAACGCACATTTAACAGAATTCGGTGGCGAAACTTCTTTTTCAATTAAATATTTACCGAATTTCTTTTTTTATTCCATACCACGAGAAACCTTAGATTACAAATTAAATTAACTTTGCGGTAGCGTAGCCTTATAAGCGAGAATTAGAATGTCGAAAACCTAGATTAACAGACTAATTTTTTTTATTTTTCCTCGGTGTAAAGGAAATAAAAAACCATTAGAGAGAAAGTATATCAAACCGCTTTTATAAAATATTTAACAGCCTTGTATCATTCCTGCAAATTAAAAACGAATGATTCATTAATAAGGAAACAACCGATGAAAAAGCTATAGCTCAAGACAAAATGTTATCAGGAAACACTCCGATTTAAGAATTCCACGTAACTTTCCATTGATGTGTAAACAAAACTTCCAGGAGATTGCATTTTACAATAAAAGTAACGGTCAAAAATTATAGATTTTTCTCAAAAACGCGATAAGACAGAAGTCTCGCCCATTTTCGATCTTAAATGGCAATTAGGCCGTTCTAATTAGATAAAATTTCCGAAAAATAACAATAACTTCTGCATTTAAATGTTCACACGGAAACGGCCTTCAATTTGAATTTTTTTGTCAGTGAAAAAGGAAAATAGGCGGGAAACGTGAGTCATCCTTATACACAAAAAAAACCAAATAAAAATGTCATCTTCAACTCTCCCTGAATAGTTTTGAAATCTGTTAACTGAAGTATAGCTAACTAAACATATTAAGTGATAAATGAAAACTCGTTCAGTTTGTTGAAATCATTTCCAAAACTGCACAAAAAATTTTAAAAATGCCCTGCTGGTCTGGATTTGTTTGAATAACAAAAAAGATCATAAAAAATAAATAATTTTATTAGTGCCGCTAATAAAATTAAAGTTTACATTATGATTTTTTTGTCATTCCTTCATATTGGCGTCAAAAGAAAAAATCTCGGATTTAAGAGAAAATCGCTCTTCACTCGAGGCTTGTTTGACAAAAAGAGCCAGCTGAGTGCATCATCAATCTACAATCTATAAAGCCAGTTTCAAGATCTAAAGCTCTTCATTTTCAAGTGGTGTCAATGGTCGAGCAATGGTAATTTATTAAACAGATTATGGCATTATGGACTAACAAGCATTACGGTACAAATAAAACAACCTATATACAAATCCAGCGCGAGCAAGAACTGTGAGCAACGGTCATCACTTAATTTGGTCAAAAAATTTTGACAAAAAAGGACAAAATTTTGCTCTATATCCAGTTTTTTTAATTTTGATTGGAGTTCAGTATGAAATATTTCGCTTAATAAATCTGCGGACTGCATTTTTACTGTTTGTAAATAAACTCAAGATAGGAAATTCAGAAAATGAACACACTGCTAATAAAAATACCAACAGATTTATTATACCAATCAATGTTACTACACATGAAATGACGCAATATTATACTAAATGCACTGCGTTGTAGGATAATAGGGTAAGGGGTTATAAAACATTTGTGGGAATATGACGGTGAGGAGGAAACTTCCAGCTACCAAGTTCGATTCCCGTCCCCCCTTGGGAGAGTTAGATTTAGATTTGGACTACTGATGTAACCTAACCACAGATTATTGCGTGCAAAAGAAAATTGAACTTAGTCTTTTTGTATAATGCCACTTAACGTTTTTCAGGAACAAAATTGCATTCGAGTTCTTCATAAGTTTGATTGAAGAGGAAAGATGGCAACATTTGCTATTTTTCTACAATTAAAAAACTTTCTGCCAATTTTTGTAGTCTGTTCCGCTAGAGAAAATTGTAGTCTGTTCCACTGGGTTTGAGAAAAATGAAAACAAAATATATCTAATCTAATTTTAAAAAAAGTAAAAATACAGTCGAATTTACCTTGGACTAAAAAAGTTTTGACGTCCAGAAGTCGCAAGCGGAACTAATAAACATCAATCAATTCAGGATTTTGAATTTCAAGGTCTTATTATGTTTCCCTTTTACCAATGACTCATCCTAAACAGGTTGCTGAAAACACTGTCAAATTGACTGAAAAAATAGTGCACATAATCCAGATATTCAATAAACTGGAAATTATTTCAGTACCTTCCGCATCGACTGACCTAAATTTGTACAATCGATGGAAGAAGAAAAACCTGGTTAATGGGTTAAATCATCAATCTGCTAAAATGAGAGCCAAGTAAAGATGTCACCAGTTAAAAATGTGACCCTTTTAATTTCTGGTAATTCAGCACAACCCGGTGCCATTTTTAGGCACTTAAGTAGCATTAAATGAGTCATGATTTTATTCTCAAGAACAAACCTATCTTTATTTTATGCAAAAATTGTTTTTTAAGGTCTTTTGTGGTCGCGTATTCATCGTTGTATTTGATTGTACCGAAGCGTGCAACTGGCATCTTTTGAAAAATCCCACCCTTTCCCCGTTCACCCTCCCTAAATCCCATTGCCCTTCCCCCGTTTTAACTTAAGTCTTTTCCTTGTTTACAATCGATACAGAAACACAACATCAATAATGAGGTGGAAAATTGGGTGAAAATGCGCAGTGATGAATTGCACTTAAAAAGGGTTTTTTATGTTCTGATTATTATACTATTCACACTTTATTCACACTTTGTTCCCACTTTTATATGCTCATTCAACCCCGCGTCCTTAGTAGTTCACATTTTATTTTCCCTATTTCCGAAATTTTAAGTCACCAAGGAAGTAAAATGCGCCCTGTGTTAACATTAAACACAGCTCATCTTCTTTTTTTTTCTCTTATTTATTTTCGCTAAGAAGAAAATCGAGGCTTGTATTTGCGTTTAATGTAAGTGTATTGATAAGTGGTAGTAATGGTTGTAGTATTAGGCATGGATGATTGACCATTTTTGCCCAAATTTCACCCCTGTGGATTTGGAATTAGTTCGATCGATTGACATTTGAACAAACAATCACACTCGAATTTTCTTTGGAAATCTAAATAAAAGATTTTTAAGCCATTCTAGTCACATAATTTTCCATAGGTGATAAATATATTGTCAAAGGAAAGATTTTTTTCATGATATTTAACAATTTCCGGAATTTTAAAAAATACATCCAATATTTGAGAAACCCCCTTTTTCGCAAAAAAATGGGGTTTCATCTGACAAGTAAAATCGGATCAACTTCAGATGCCTTGAGAGCTTAGCGTGTACAAATTAGACAGGTAATCCGTTTGAAATGACGCAAAATTAGATGGCAATTACAGCTTGTCAAAGCTGATTGAGTTTTAATTACTTTTCCATATTCTTTTTAAGGTTTTTCCAGGTTCTAATTCTTCATATATATAGAACTGCTTGAAATAGTAGTTTTTAATACTTCAAGAAAAAACTTTAATTTGAAGCATTATTTTCAGAATCAAAATGAAACTCAATTACTTTTTTAGGTTATACAAATTCTTGACACTCTGACTTTTCCCATTGCAAATAGAAGGTCTTAAAAATTGACCTGTGTCAGGAAATTAACTTCATTTGCGTGGCATGCTATTTGGTAACAACTACACGCTTACCAGCCACCATTTTTAAATCGGTCCATCGCTGCTCATTCTTTCACTGTAACAATTCAGCCTTAGGGCGGTGGTAAGAATTTAAAAAACAGATGCCAGCTAGTCGATGCATCAGTAAGACTAATCTATCTAACTGCCAGTTGCAACAGCTTAGAAACAGAAATTTAAAATTACATTAAGACTTTTGTGATACTACAACACAGCAGCAGCACAAAACATGTCAAAACTTTTTTGCTCAAATCTGCCAAACAAACATTGGAAACCACTTTTTAGCGCATAAAATAAACAAAAATATATATTTTTACCACCAATTGTTGAGCTATAATTGAAGAGTTTCAAAAAAATGTTATCAAATCTGCTCATCGGTAGTTCGAACCTTTGATCATAAGCTCGATAAAATCCACTCGAAGCATCAGTGTAGTGATTAATATTCACTCTCTTTATAGCACGGTGTGCTCAAACGGAGCACTGGGGAAAACAACACGCAGTGGGGGATTGTCAAAACTGAAAACAAGTCACATTTTCTAATTCGTGTTTTTGTCCCATTTTACGTATATAACATAAACGTGATGGTATGATTAGTGAAGATGGTATTATCGATTTAGGACTTTTTGGACTATTTTTCTTTTTCAGGCTAAATTTTTATTATTTCAAGTTGAGATTTGTATGCTCGATTGATTAAAGCTTTAAAATCAAACGAGACTTAAAGAAATTATTTAAGAAAAAACTACGCAGTACAGCATAAGCCGAAAGGCAACAGTGCCAAAAAATCATCAATCTTCTCGGCACTGTTGAATACTTTTTCAGTTTCGGCACTGTTGTACTTCGGCATTGTTGAATGCCCCCTCCCCCATAAAAACAAATGACTTTCCATGCATTATTTTTGTCAAAAACTGAGAACAAAAGATTAAAACATGTCCCGCAAGCTGTTCAAAAATGCGCAATAAATGAGGACCGTTCCTCCTTTGAAGTCTTTTGTTTTTCTACTGAAACCGTTTTCTTTTGTGTTGGGAGTCAATGGAGTGAAAAGAAATCAAAGGGAGAGTTTCTCGGAGCGTACTAAGCCGGAGCAGATCGGAACTCATCAAACTGAACAAAATCATCCATCACCCATCTATCACTATCACCAATCGGTAAACATTTTGTTTTCTTTCCCCCAGGTCAGAGTGTTAGAAAAGCTATTTTGAAAAAAAAATTCAAAAAGGCTGTTACGAAAGACTGCTGGACAAAAAAAAATGTGAAAGCAATTTT